TGTGTGTGTATAGAAAGGAGAGGAGAGGAGAGGAGGAGAGGGGAGAGAAAATAAAAAAATATAGGAAGCATTAATAACATTTTCTTTAATTCCAATAATCCTTCAGTAACAACTCAACAACAAGCTTACTTACCGCAGAGTCCATATGTAACCTCAGCTTCCTCTGAGCCACAGTTTTCTGTATCCGTTTGTTGTAAGCGGCATTCCCCGCTAACTGGGTGCATCGCTCGCCTGCATCAACCAAGCAACACACCTGGTCATGTTGTGAGCCCGAGTCTTCCTCTGTGCTCAGTCCATTCATTTGACCGTAATCTGAAACGAGGCGTACAGTCAGACATCTGGTTTGTCCTCAGACTAAGGTAACCTGCAATCACAGAATGGCTGAGTTGATAATATAATCTTACTGGAATAATATTACCAATTGCTCTCCTTAACACCAAGACAAACGAATTCACAGGAATGACGACGACCTTTGGAATAACTTGGCCATAGATTTCTCTAAAAAAGAGCTGTAATTCCTCACAAGATAAAGAAGACTAGACCATTCTCAAGCAAAGGTTTGGTGCTTTAGAGGAATCTTAACTCACTGCTGGTCCTTTCCACAGTGAGTTTGGCTCTTCACAACCAATTAAGTCCTCACACATGAAAACGTACAATGCCACCAACAGCCTAGCTTCTGACCCAAATAGAGGAAATCAGTTAAAACCTCAAAATTCACCAAAACCGACGTCCTCTCACTCTTAAAAGATCTGCTACCACTGGTGATTCGGCCTCACCTCCTCGTCCCCGAGACATAACATCCCCGCTGACCCAAAGAACCTTCCACACAATCCAGATTTCAATTCGCGTTTGTTGAACCTCCGCGAAAACGTTTACACTGAGCTGCCTCGTCCCCCTGAGAAGAAAAAAAAAGAAATTGCTTCCCTGGCACTGTAGCCTTACCTTGAAAAATTACCGGACACCGAAAGGGCAGACTGGGAGGCCGAGGACCCGGTCTTGCGGAATCAGAAGGCAAAGCGAAATCCACCTTTGAGAAGTGCACAAATTTCGCTCTGCTTCGTCCGGAAAATATATCTCCTTTGCCTTCTCTCTTCGGAGGCCTGTGTCCCCAGCTTATCAATCGTTCTTGCGGGCGAATTAACACGTATTTCCACGGAAGGATGCGCCAAAATCGACCTCGGAGCACTCGTCTACCTTCTCAAAGACCTTTCGCACGTAATTACCACAGAGTTCTTCACATTATTTCAGTTAAAAGACCAGTAAGACAAAGGGTATGCGTGCGGGACAGAGCTTGACTGACACTACGAGCCTCTCCGCTTTCCCTTTCACGTCTGTTTACTTCGGGTTCCAGCAACGATAAATCAGGTGGCACAGTTCCATCTTTTAGGGTTTGAAACTTTCACAAAAATACCAGCGGAAAGAAAGTAATGTTTTATGGCCGTACAATAATTTTTGTTTTAGGTATTGGCCATTTTATTGGGAAATATTTTATTTGTTTTATTTTTCTCAAGGCGTTCTTTTTGCCCTGGCTATCCAAGCGACATGAGACGCCCGCTCTGATTGGTCGCCAAATCAGTCGGAGTAAGCAGCTTATTAGTATATTTTAATGAATAATCTCATTATACTTGTCAATTGTTTTAAGGAATGGACCGAGATTCCATAAAAGTGCAACAACTACATGTTTGTTCGATATGCCGTATCTCAAATTCCCGCCCCTAACCTCGTTTTTAAGTAAATACCGCCAACAAAACTCGTAAAAACCAGACTCGTCAACTCAGGGCGAGCTCGCGGCATTTCCATTGGCCAATTTTTTCGAGAGACCGGCACTCTAACGGCGATTGCGGTTGGTTAATTTTTGCGGGAAACACAAAATGAGCCAATCAGCAGCCGAGATTGCCTTCCTATGCTTTCCCTATGGAAGAACGCCGTCGACTCGCCCCGGAGAAAGGTCCTCGTACCGAAGTGCACCCATCGACAGGTAAGGGTATTTTTAGCTATATCTTTCCGTGTTCGACTCTCCCGCCATGGCCAGTGCGATCTCCTAGGCCACGACAACTCGGAGAACGACGCGGTGCAGGTTAGAGGTCTTTAGCAGCGCGGAAATTCGTAAAACTTTTAAAGCGTCGTGTTGTAAAGCCTTGCAATGGCAGCCATTAAAACAAAGTGCGGGCTACAGGAGGAAAGGTATTTTTAATTCATGTCGGCTCCCAGCGAGGCTCGGGAAACGGATTAATGACGTCTCTAAGTTCCCCTCGAACCGGGGAGTCCACTGAGCTCGCTGTGTAAGGCGCGATATTGGTAGAAATAACGAGATAAACGTGTGGGTGAGAGAGTGTGAGCAAGAAGACGATAAGTAATGTTGTTCATTGGATCTGAAGGTGTTCGGATCCTTGGGTCGGGCCTCGGCTTCTCCGTCGTGGCGCCCCGGTGGAATCCAGAATGACGTCATGTCACTAAAATTACTTATGAAATGTAATATTTTTTTTTCCTTTCTTTTCGCCCCTTCACGCGAGAAAGGGCAAGACTCGTGCAGATGAAATCAATTATTTTGAAGGTGATGTGCCTTCATAGGCTCGGGACCCGAGAGCGACAATCGGGACGAGTCGGTCTTCCGATTTCAGATTTTTCCGGTCGTCTCAGATTAGTACGGACAGAGTGCGCACAGGAGCGAGGCGTTTGTTGATGTAGGCTTTCTTCCTTGCAGATGAGCGTACGGCATCGAGGTAGGCCTAAAAATGGAGGCCTCTTTCCCCTCTCTGCGGATTTTACCTCGATTCTCTCGGGTCCTGGGCGTCGCGTCTTTCTATTTTCGTTTCTTTATTCGCCTTTTTTGTTTTAAATCGGAGTTTCTTTTAGGAAGACAAAGGACTTGCGTGCATTCAACTGTTTCAAGCGAAATTATAACCATTCTTTTCTGTCCCTTTTTTTGGGAGTTGTGGTGGAGGAATTCTGTAGTTTCCTTTGTCTTCCTCTGGAGTTTGGTGGTGACGATCGCTTTTCTTGCCATCGAAAACAGAAGAATTCGTTTCGTTTCGGAGGTTGCTGGCTGGGATGGAAAACTTTTTAAAGTTTACATAAGAAGGGTAGAAGGTCGTAGGTCGGGGTGTTCAGAAGTAATTAGGCAGATTATTTAGAGTTGGTTTGCATTTGAAGGGTAATTATCATTTACTTTATTTTTGTTTCCCACATTTACCAGAATGGCAATGAAACCCATAGCATTCTCTGTACTATTTAAAAATGCTGTGTATATAGTTGGCAGGCATCTTGTTTTGACAACTTTCTTCTCATAACTTTGCTTGTCTGTGTTGTATATTGACTGTTTAGGTATAAAATCAGTCTTTTTTTAATCATGATTAGAGACTTAAGGACATCTTACTTATAAGTAGAAACCAAAGGATGTTCTTGACATTCTGGTCCATCCCCTATTATCATGTGGCAGTGGTGGGGATTACCCCTTGCCCTAATATTGCTTGTGGTATCATGTTATGGTGTAGGCCAGGGGTTCCCAACGTCTGTCATATCAGGGACCCCAGATAATGATGGTTCCAGGCTGGCCAGCCCCTCCCCCTTCTCCCCTGCCCATAGAAATGTACATGTATATGTACACACATACACACACACACACACACACACACACACACACACACACACACACACACACACACACACACATGCATAGATGTGTGTGTGTTTGTGTGTAAACACACAGATATACATACATTTATATAGATTCTGATATATAGGAACCTGCTAGATTTTGGAACAAATACATGAAAATAGTTTGAATAGTAACATGGTGCATTTTCAACATTAGTTTAGGTATTGCATTATTTTAGAATAACATTTGTTTTCTTCTTTGTAATCTCTCTCTCTCTCTCTCTCTTTCTCTTTCTCTTT